TCTCCTCTCCTCTTCTCTGCTCTCTTCCCCTTTCCTGTCCTCTCTTCTCCTTTCCTCTCTCCTCTCTCTGTCTCTGTAGTATGTAGTTTTTTACATATATATGTCATTTTTAATTCTGATTTTTCATTTCTTTTTTCATTCTGACAGCTGTTACCTTTAGAGAAGTTGTGAATTTTCAGAGATTGGGGAATAGGAGTAGAATACATATGTGGTACCTGGAGAATTTCATGGATTCCAGTGCTTTGGGATGGAGCAGGAGTCCGATAATTGGTTGTTAAGGTAGATTGATCACTAGTATGGGTGGTCACAAGTTACTTTGGGAAGGTATGTGGCACAGTAGATGTGGTGGAGGGAGGGTGGGAAGAGTCAGGAATGACTCTGATGTTGTGAATCCAGGGTGCTAACCCGAAGGATGTTGGTGTCTTCAACCCGAGGAGGGAGAAGTCTCGTCTTTGGACAGAACATGGAACTTTTCCCGCCTTCTTTGATTTGAATAATCAAGACAGCCAAATTATTTTTATCTTACTCTGATAAATGACAGTTAAGCACAAATTACATTTTGGAAAAGTGCCCATAAAGATGGTTAATTTTAAAAGTTTTCACATTCAAGTATGGTGAATCTCAGTTATCCAGAACCCATATTAATATCGAATGCCTTCTTTTCACCCCAAAGAATCAAAACAGATTTACTGTGGTTTGGTTGGGAGGGTATCTGTCTATCCCAAGTAGAAAGATGTTATGGGAAGTAGCTAGCAGGTTCTTCTGGGCTTATCTTGTAGATAGATTTATTACTATAAAATGTCATTCGCTTCTCCACTTTCTGCCACATCACTGGGGTAAATGGAAGGAAAACATGGGGCGCCATCTTCTCACTTTGCTGTCGCTCCCTAACCCCTTCTGTCCCCTTGATGTCCCTAAGTGGCCAACTGCAAATACAGTTACTCAGTGGGATATATTTGTGTCAGTTCTGTGGAGCAGATTACTAAATGATGTCACTCTGAGAAAATTCCCTTTTTTCCAAATTGCATATTCCCAACACAAAGTGTTTTGATAGCCTTATTTCACTATCAAAGTTGCCAACAGAGTTGTGTGTGTGTTATCTTAACGTTCCACAAATATTCTCCTTACGTATTTGTTATCAAGCTGGTGTCAGAAGGCCTTGCTTATAGTTTGGAAGGTGGATATATACTGAGTTACTGCGAGTTTGTGGTTTGCTTACACTTAAACATTGAATTTATTAGAAGCGCTCAGGGGACTCAAGAAGTCCAGAGGGCTGGCTGACTTCCCCTCTTCCTCCTTATTCCTTAGCAGTGGACATCAGGCACTACCCAATGTCCCCTTGGAGACGAAAGGAAAGAGTTCTCATTATTTTGCATTCATTTACTGTAACGTTATTTTGCTAATGTAAAAATAGAGTGTTGTTTTAGAATTTCCTCCAAAGTGAATGCGTCTTTGAAGAATAAAGGACAGCTTTAGCTCCACCAGAGTTAAAATCCTGGGATTCTCACTTAGAGACTCCTCAGCTGATATTTTCAATACAAAATTCTCCCTCTGACTACATTTGTAAAAATTGATCATTTAGTGAGTGAAGTAAAGCTTTGGGATCGAAATGATTGTCTGCTTTAAAAGGTGGAGAGAGGAGGCCATTCAGACCATTGTAGTTTAAGAGGGTTATTTTTCCCCCCGAGGGGTGAGAGAGAGAGAATGAAAGACCTCAGGACGTTTCCAACTAGACAGGTTTTCCCACTGGCTTCACTGAACCTGAAAGAGACACTGATTTATAGTGAGCCTGTCTAGCAAGTTCCAAGTTCCAGTTCTTGGCTTTCCCCAGATACAAGTGTCACGTCGCGCAGTTCTGACTAAATAAGACCACCATCTGCAGGCTTCTCTCTTGAGACTCCCTAAGGTATCTTTGAAAAACAAAAAACCCCCACCCCAAATATTCTCCCAATTAAGAAATGAAAATGGTTCTCTTCCCCACCCCCCAAAAGGTACAATCATTATACTTTAAAAAGGGTTCAAATGAAAAAAATAAATTGGTGTCTACATGAACTGGAAAAGAAAATCCGAATCAAAGCGAGTCTGCTGGGCATCGCTGGGCAGTACTGTGAATGAAGTTGTAACTTTGACTTTATCTTCCACAGACAAACAACAGAAAGGTGAATTTGCTATAGATGGATACAACGTCAGAATGAATAATACCCTTAGGAAAGATGCAAAGAAAGATTGCTGTTTTGAAATCTCAGCTCCTGATAAACGCATCTATCAGGTTGGGCTTTTTATGTCACCTTGAAATTAGGTCGATAAAAATGTGCTGATTTCATTTATAGAGATATTAACATTTTGGTAAAACAACTCTCTCTGATATGGTGATGAAAAAAAAAAAGCCCCAGTTTGCTTACACAGAGCATTCCTATAATAAAAAACTTACTTAAAAAAATTCAGAATCAGTTCAAATGGTATCTTTTTTGAATAAGAACAAGTTAATATATTATCTATCACGTCAGTGTTAACATTTTGCTACTCTATTTTAATGGGCTTGTGTGATTTTTTTTAGAAGAATTCTATAGTAGGAAGAATACGGTTATCAAAAATCTGTGTGTTAATAGAGATTGTATTATTTAAGGGCGTGGGAGGAAAATCCAAGGTAAAAGGACCTATCAGCTCTGCAATCCCCGGATCTATCAGTTAGACATCAATATGGAATGTAAGTTTAATAAGTTTTAAATATCTGAGATTGCAGTTGAAAGCCAGTTAATTAAGTTGTCAGTAGTATGTTGGTATCTGACAAGACCATTTTTAAGAAAACTGTACCCAGCAGTCTAAAGAAATTCATGGGTGTCTTCTAATTGTCAAGGGCAAATTTTGCTCATCACTCCTGGCTTTGACATTGATGAAGAGAAGCAGGTTTTTTCTGCACAGCTGCCAGCTGCTGATCAGAGTTCCAAATCCATCATCCACTGCTTCAATTACGTAAATTTGTCAAAATTAACAGTACATTATAAGGAGCATCCTTGCAAGGAAAGTATCACCAGACATGAAAAGAATTACTAATGGGCCCGCAGAGAAAGGATGGGAATTAGCCATCGCTTCTACTCCAGAGGTGACTCGACCGTTGTTTTCTCTCTTAGTTCACAGCGGCCACTCCCCGAGACGCTGAGGAATGGGTCCAGCACCTGAAATTTGTGTTACAAGGTAAGAGCGATCGATTAAGCAAGTCATTTGAAGACATTCCTTAATGCTTAACGGGCACAGAGTGACTTTCAGTTTCCACGCGTAAATGCTTATATTAACACACAGGGACCTCTGTGAGAAGGAGCAGAGAATGATATTAATAGAGCCTCTTGCAGTTTTTGTGAATGTGCTCATTTTCCGTATTGTTTAACATGGGGGTCACTTGTTTGCGGTTTTGAAAGTGGATTATGTCATCAGAGTTATGATACTTTGTAAGTGAGTTTCGGGACTGGGTCTGTTTAGGGGAAAGCATTTTTTTTTAAATCTGGTGTTTCTGGCATCCTTTAAAAACATGCTTTGTGCAATGATGTTTTGCAGACCTGGAATCTGATGTCATTCCTGAGGACGACGATGAAAGGGGAGAGGTGTACGACGACGTTGACCCCGGGCCCACGATCACAAATCCCCCAGCAAATGGCCAGCCGAGTGACGACGAAATTTACGAAGTGCTTCCAGGTATCTCTCGTATCATGTTTGGTGAGGCTCATCTGCACCTAAAATAATGTCCTCTTTAGCACACCCTGCCTCATTTCCCTGGTGGCTTCACGACAGCCTGGCGTGTTCTGAATAATGAAGGGGGGGAACTTCCTGAGCCACTGTCCTGAGCCTGTGCCAGGCCCATGGTATGATGTACTTCAGGACGAGAGGTGGGGGGCCCTGAAGCCCAGCTGACGGACTTAGCATCGCGCTCACTATGCGGGGTGATTTTTTTAATTAAAAATTGACTTGGTGTTATCTTAGAGAAACTGTCACTGAGCTCAGTCAGAGAACCTCAGAGGTTTCAGGAACATATATCGTTATTTGTTTTAGGTGGGGCACAGGACTCCCAACTTGTAGTATTAGGTACAGCTGATGTCGACTGACGTGTTGGCAGCCTCCTATACAGGTCTGCGGGTCGGGTTAGAGCAGAGGCAAGGCCCTGAGGAGAATGTGCAGCTAAAGGCCTTTGGAAAGCCACCTGAAGCATGCAGTGGATGGGGAGGCAGCACCGAGGCTGAGGATGTTAGCCTTCAAAGCATTTCTTGTAGTGTTAGTGTGGCAGTTTGTATTCTAGCCTCCTGCTATTAGCAAGGAATATCAGTAATTAGAACTTAGGCTTAAGGGAGAAAGAAACCTGTACGTGCTGCTTTATTTTATGATGCTCTCTGAACTTCCTGGCCTTTCTGGGGTGGCATTTGATCAAAGCATCAGTGGTGATCATGGGTAATCTATTTTCACTCACATGGCCTCAGTTTTTTAGTGCTAAAAACAGTTTGAAAGAGTTTGTGTGAGTGAATGTTGAGGTGTACAGTGAGAGGCTAGTCTGTTCTTAAATGTGCCGTTTGCCACCACAAACACTGCATTGCATCTGGCTTCATAACAGCAAATAAATGTTTTTCTTGGAGTTGTTGGAATAGCTCACTCCCAACAGGAGAAACCAACTGTACTATTAGACTGGCAGGCAAACTAGTTTTCGTTATGTCTATTAAAGACAAATGGCCTTGACCCTTTTGACCAGAGCTACCTTCTGTTCCTGAATGTTTTGAACTCAGTTTCCATTCCTTCCGTGACATGTTTGTGACGTGTGTGTCCTGGTGGTCACCCAAGGAGGCCGTCAGGGCTGATGACCTTGGTTTTCCTGAGTGGCAGCTTGACCATTTCAAAGACTGCTCTGCCATGGAATGCAGAGCTTCCTAAGACCATTCACAGAGCACAGGCCTCAGGGAATCTATTCCAGGGAAGAGTTCATGGGAAGTTAGCCCAAAGCTTTGGGAACAGCTTCTTTTTGTCTCTTCCTGCCACCCTGGCCTCGTCACTCACTGAAATGATTGGCTCCTCCCTACATCCCCCCGCTTTGGTCCCTGCTGGGAGACCAGTCGCTTCACGGACTGAGGGGGCCAAATTGAGCCCCCGGTGGTCGGTGCTCCTGGGAAGGAGGCCATCCAGGCTGTGGGGCGCCTGGTCCTCTTTGCTTCTGCAGCATCGCTGGCTTCTGCTTCGCTTTGTGAGTTGGTAGCACTTGAGTGAGCAGAGATCAAGACGCTTCTGAGTGATGTCACACACGTTCCTTCTCAGCGCCAAAGCTCAACTGTTCTGTTTTGGTTAAACGCCCCAAACCAGAAAATTCACTTTTTGTTGAAGAAGCCCAAGAATCGGGCCCCCCCTTAATGTTTCTTTGTTATAGGAACATTCCAGTCCTCGGTGTTTCACCTGAGGACGGCGAGCTGTGCATTCATCATCCGTGCGTGTTTCACAAACTGCTTCCTCTCTCCACGTGCCGAGCCTCCCTTCAATCTGACAGGATCCAGTGCTCAGGATTTGCTATGACTGCCATTCATTCCCAGGGAGAATTTGTAACTTCTGATGAGTTTGCACACTGTGAGAATCCTGAGAGGGAACCTCCTCGTTAAGCTTTTTAATAAAGTTGGATTTGGATTAGGCGGATTGACAAGGATGGAAGGAGCTTTCCACGACTGACATGGCAGAGTCACGTTCTTATGATCGTTATCATAAAGTACAAGAGAAAAAAGAGGAAAACAGCTTCAAAAGGGGGCTGAGGAAAGATTTCCCTCATTCTATGAGAATGTCAGGAGTTTCGCTGAAATTATTTTTTAGTCAGAATAACTTTACTACAGCAGCTACGTCTTACGCTTTAATTTTTTGTTCATGAATTATTAACTAACGTCATAAAAGAATCAGAGTAAATTTCTAAGATTTCTTTTCCCTTGAGGGGGAGAGTTAAATAAATCCACCCATAGCTAGGAGGCTGGAGGTCACTGAAGGATTTGGCTTTTTCTCAAATGCCCCAAGGCCCTGGAGGCGTTTTGATATCTCGGCAGAACATGCTTCTTATTAGTCTTATTGCTTAATTAGGATGGGGCAATTGGCGTATCAAGTTGCCTCACATTGCGACATTGCTGTAACAAATCAATGTTTGCTTTTTAAGTTTTAGTATCGGTGGCTGGCCTTGTGCTTTGACCAAAATGTGCCCAGTTAAGTAGGTCTTTAGAAAAGTCTTGACTTGGGCCTTGAGTTTAGAATTCAAAGCTTACTCCATTTCATGAAAGGACAACAGAGGAATATTTTGGTGTAGGTTTGAGTCTCAGAAAAGGAATTTTATGCTGGATAATCACCGCAGACATCGGGCTCAGCTTGACTCCTTTCTTGCCTTCTTGCCAATTTTTTTTTTTTTAATGGCAGGAAGTTGTGCCGAAAAATGGATTCTCCAGACGGAGGCTGACTGAGTTCAGCTCAGTAACAGAAATTGCAACAACCCATTAGCCTTTTAAATCTGTAGCTTTCAGGGGAATTGAATGTGAAATGTCTTCTGGTGAGTGGGATGGAGAAGAGAGGGCAACGTGAAAAAGAGGAAGACAGCCCCCAGTGCCATGAGCCTCTAGTGTAAAAGGGCGAATTCATTTTATTGTCATGACAGAGTCACCCTTCCTGAGCCAAAAAAGGGGCAGCTCGTCCTCTGGTCGGTCACATTTCAAACTTTGTCAGTGTAAACATCCGGCTCTAAAATGAAATTTAAAGAAATAAGCATCTGCCAAGATTTTCCCAGGGAAGAACCTGTCGGACATAAACAAAGGTTTCTGAGCATTCACATGTGTAGGTATCTATCTTTAGCAAATAAATGGGCACAGATGAAAAACTAATCAGGAAGCTATTACAGGTCTCAAAAATGAGCTCTGGGCTTTTTGATGAAGGGTCACACATGCCACCAGGTTAGTGTGAAAATCTCCAGCTGAGTGGTTGGAGTTGGCTCAATTCCAGATCATGACAGGGTGCTAATGAGACCCTGGCTTCACTAGAGGATTTGTCTGAGGGTGCCCTTGTGCGGAATGCAGTTTAAAAAATGCCCATGGGCTTCCATGAAGCCTGTCAGGTGAGCATTTCAACATTCTTACGCTACAAGGTCGGCTAGCATTTCCAGTCTTTACATTGGAGTGGCTGCATTATTACGTTAAGTGAGTAATGGTGCCTTGTGATATGATGTGAGATACGTGTTTCTGTCTAGACATAAAATCCAGGATTACCATCCGGTCTTTCCCTGCCCACTCCCCAGTGATCAAAAATGCAAGGTGGCTTCTGACCTGGAATATCAAAAAGCTCTGCCAGAGAGGACAGGACACGTGCATGCACGGACAGGTGTATGCACAGACACACACGTGTGCTCACTTAAATATTTAGTATTTACTAAAGAGAAATGTGTTTTTAAAGACACAATGAATTTGCTCCCTTGTTAGAGCTATCATAGAGAGTGTGGACTACGTGGTCTCTCAGATCGTTCCTAGGTCTGCTGGCCAAGGATTCTGTGCTGGAGGTGATTGTACGCCATGGGCATTCCCCCTTTTGGGCTTTCTGGTCCATAGCTGAGCCACCGACCACCTGGAGGGTACCCAGAGCAGCTTCCCTTTCTCCACATGGGCAGAAGAAGACTGTGTGCGGTGGCAGATACGTTGTCCTCATCACAAAGAGGAATGTTACTTACGGCAGCTCTCCGCAGAACCCTTGTGAGCACACACACGTGCAAGTGCAGACACACGTGTGCGCGTGCACACACACACACACACACACGCGCGCGCGCGCGCGCACAACCCTCCATGAGATCCGGAGACCAGTGAGATCACAGAAAGCCCCGTCTTGCTCTTGGTCACCTGGAGATGTCATGCCTGATCCTCTGGCCCTCTGAATCACCCAGTCATTTGGGTTAAGAACATCTGCACTCCAAAGTCTGGGCCAGCATCTATTTGTCATTTTAATTAGGCTATTACTGACTTTTCTGTTAAAGCTAGAATTATATAAGTAGTTGCCAAGCCGTGGAGCTAGGTGGAATTGTGGAAAAAGCCTTCAGGAAGTGTTCCCAGTGTCTGGGCACTGTGCTTACTCATTATGGAGATTCGGATGGCAACAGGCAGGCTGGTCCCTGCGCTTGAGGATCTAACATTCCAGTGGGGAAGGACAACCGTGGAGGAAAGAAGGCCCCACTGAGTCCTGGCAGTGGTTAGCAAGGACGTCCAGAATGGAGGGCAGGTGGCGGGCCCCCCCGTAACACAGTGAGCGCTCTGGGCTCAGAGCTCAGCAGTCGGAAGAGCAGACCTCCTACCTCTCCAGACTTCTCCCCAGGAGGGGAGGACTGCTGGGGAGGATGCTGGAACGTAAAGGTCAGATGCTTGGTGAGAAGACGCCAAGGAAGAAGGTCCCTGACGCCCCATCTCCCTCTTTCCAGCCCACACGTCCTGCACAGCATGTGCCTCATGGAGCAGACCCAGCATCCTCTTCCCCACTGGCTACATGAGCCTCTGCCCTGAGACACTGATGGGCCCGCATGCCTTGGGTACTTTGCTGCTACTGTCTGTGCATGACTCACACCATTTCTGCCTTCTAGAAGGTTTTCTTTCCCTAACCTCTCCCCATCTATAGGCAAGATGCCTTCCAGAATCCAAGTGCCAGCCCGGAGTCCCTCCCTCTTG